AAACCTCGCGATTGTTGAACAAGAAAACGACGCATTCATATTCCAATGCCGAGGTTAATAGAAAGTCGATCCTGAAAATAATTTCCGTTTATACCACCCAAATGGTTGTATTCAAGACACCACGGTGAGTGGCCTTTCTGTTCAATATGGCGTCTATTTGAAAGTTTGATCTTCATTAATACTTTAACCTTCTTTTCCACCGAATAATAAAAACTATTCTAACATAAAGTACGTCCAGGCTCTGAGGAAGGCGAAGTCGCCGAAACGTCAGCCATCGATCAATAACATCAAAAACAACGACAACGACAACGAAGATCTGTACCAACTTCGCGTCAGCTTAAGAAGATCAGTTTATAAGATCACATAAATAAATATCAATAAATAGTTTAACAACAAGCTCGTGTCTCTCCCTCAAGAAAGTAGTGGGTTTTGGTCGTTGCACTAGTGCTTATCTCTCCCTTATCCCATAGTCCTTTGCGACAAGTTGGGCTACATGCAGATCTGATGTGACATATGAAGGGCAAGTTATAGAGAGCAGCTCGTTAATGTATTACGACTGTGACAGTTTCATAAAACGAACTTAAATTTGGGTCATTAAACATCTACCTATGAGCAAAGACAAATTAAGACATGTAGGAGTTAACAAGCTACTGCCCTTTCCGGGGAGAAACGCGTTCACCACCTCACCATGCGCTTCCTTCGTTTCGCCTGTCTCTCAGCTAGTTCCACCAACTTCTGCCATCAATATATACCTGGACTAACATGCGAAATGAAAGGTTGCGCGTAGTAAGATAAAAACAAAAATACGTAACAAGATAAGGAAATGCTCAAGAAAGCGTTTAAAATGCTCGAGGCAACGTCAATCACCAAGCCCACGCGTGAGAAATAAAAACACCATCTCTCTTTGAAATCTGCTGGCCCTTACTCCATTCATACAATTATTTATGCTGTTCGTACCATTCTTCATGAATGACTGAAGTAATTCAAAAAATTAAGTAAGAACATGAAGAATGGGCAACTAATGAATGTTGAGAATAGTTCCATAGAAATAGATAAAGACTGTGAGGAATGCCCAGTGTGAAAAGTAGCAGATCATCACGCATGAGTCATCAACCGAATACGGTACATCATGAATACATCCGAGATGTTTAATGAGTATGGAAACTGTGTTGTTATGACATTAATTTAAGACACTAAGTTCCTAATATGGCCGTTAGCGACTGGACTTCTCGCAACGTTAACTGCACGGCGGTAAGACCATTGACCTAGTGGGTAGAGAATTTCACGAAGAGCTTGGAAGAATGATGCACTCTTCAGTTAGTCCTTAGAGCGGGCATAACAATTGGACTGCTCCCACATAGGAGAAAATGGAAAATCTACTGTTTTCCGCCTAAGTGACTAGACGGTATGAGGGGCGAGATGTGTAAGGCAAATATGCTACATTTAGCCAATACTGTTGTTGTCAATGGCTTTAATTATGCACTAACTGCAGAGAGAACACGGAACTAGAAGACGACGCAGAGTAGGCGGTCAATTAATTCGTAACCGCCTGTATGACCATCTATGTGAAACAAAAAATTGCCTAATTTGCCCTTAAGGCAGGGGCGATGATTGCATGAGTTCAGGTACGATATACCTGATCTCTTGTAATGACTCCGGAGATGAATATATTGCCTAAACGAGCAGATCTTTGCGTATCCGTATAGAAGAGCACCTAGATGGCAAACGAAAACTAAGATAAAGTACCACACTGGGCACGCATAGGATACAAAAGCTTAGCGGAGACGATTTTGAAGTAAAAGTCAATATCCTTGCACAGGACACTAAAACACCAGCGCGAAAACTTTTTGAGGCTTTTTGGATAA